AAAATACAGATTGAATAAGTGGGGTTTATGCCAAATTTGCTGGCTGTGCTGTCAGGGCATGTGGCAGGCAGGGCTGCTGGTCTGTGAGGGGGTCAGAAGGGAAGTTCTGCTGGGGGATGAAGAGCTCTGTGTAAAACTCTGTGTAAAAATCTGTGTAAAACTGAGCTGCAGCTCAACCCTGGGGGTGTGACTGGATTGTCAAACAGGCAAAGCACAGGAAAATCAGTCTGGAGCAGGGAAGGCAGCTAATAAGGACAGCTCCATTTAAAAATGGAAATGGTTGCAGACAAAGCAGAGAGGAGAATGGAATCCAAGGAGAGAGTCAGCTGGAAGCCCACAGGGAAATGTGGAAGAATAAGGAACAATGAAAAAGAGAATAAGGAAAAGGGGAAGAAAAATCACAGGAAGACAAAAAAGCTTAAGAGAGACAAAGAGATACTGAAGACATCTTACAGACTGTGACAACACACCAGGACAGCCTGTGTCCTAAAAAGCAGCTGTCACCTACAGCTTAAAAGTGAGAAAAAGGGGTTTTCAATCTTCATATAATTATACATTAAAATACTGGTTATGAGAGAGTAGAGAACTTTTCCTGATTTGTTAGGTCAAAAATAATGCAATCTGAGTCAAATTCTTTCTCCCAGTTGGATTATATTTCCTGAAAGCAGATAGAAAATAAATTATTCCTAATATGAATAGACTCACTGCTGTACTAGATTAACTTAAAAGAATCCTCTTGATTCCACAGTGTGGGCATTGAGAAGGGCATTTTTTTTTTTTTCTTGCACTTGGCTCAGAATGCAAAAAATCCTAAAATTTGGACACCTTGGTGAAAACCTATTGAAAAGCTTCAGGAGCCACCTTTCTTCTTATTATTTTTCTCCTTATTCTTATTATTATTTTTCTCTCAAATCAACTCAATTTAAAAAAAAGAAAGAAGCACCTCTGAGTTAGTTCTTTTCTATACTTTGTAGTTGTCTGATTTTTTTTTCATGTTCTCAGAGTTTCCTCCTTGGAAAGGCTATGGGGAATTTGCTTTATTTGACATAATTATTTATGATTAACTCAGTCTGCAAAATATATGTAAAGAGCCATCAGCAGTCTGTCATTTTGCATCTGGAGCAAAACCCATCATAGTCCCCAAAGTATAAGAGTCCAAATTCATCCTGCTGCAGTTTCATTGGACTGAGGCTTGATGCATTAAACAGCTGCACAGAATCTGAGTCATTTGTTGTGATATTCCTGCAAAATATTCGGGATCTTCACTGGAGGCAGTGAAACAGCACCAAAGATTTGGTGCCCAGGAAAGAAAAAGAATCAGCTGCTTGAACTTAAATCTCACTAAAATCCTTGGTTTTGGCTCCCTCCTCTTTCCAAATGGCCACTGAAACATTCCTCAGATGTTCATCACATGGAGTCAGGATCGTGATGTCCCTGATTTCTTCTGGACTTTGCTAAGCTGCCAGCAGTGATATCACAGAACCAGAGCAGTGATATCACAAACCAGAGCAGTGATATCACAAACCAGAGCAGTGATATCACAAACCAGAGCAGTGATATCACAGAACCTGAGCAGTGATATCACAAACCAGAGCAGTGATATCACAGAACCTGAGATGAATATCACAGAACCTGAGGTGGATATCACAAACCAGAGCAGTGATATCACAAACCTGAGCAGTGATATCACAGAACCTGAGCAGTGAAATCACAGAACCTGAGCAGTGATATCACAGAACCTGAGGTGGATATCACAGAACCTGAGCAGTGATATCACAGAATTTGAGCAGTGATAGCACAGAACCCAAGACTGATATCACAAACCAGAGCAGTGATATCGCAGAACCTGAGCAGTGATATCACAAACCCAAGCAGTGATATCACAAACCTGAGATGAATATCACAGAACTTGAGATGGATATCACAGAACCTGAGGTGGATATCACAAACCAAGCAGCGATATCACAGAACCTGAGCTGATATCACAGAACCTGAGCTGGATATCACAGAACCTGAGCTGTGATATCACAGAACCTGAGCTGTGATATCACAAACCTGAGCAGTGATATCACAAACCTGAGCAGTGATATCACAGAACTTGAGATGGATATCACAGAACCTGAGGTGGATATCACAGAACCTGAGGTGGATATCACAAACCAAGCACTGATATCACAAACCCAAGCAGTGATATCACAGAACCTGAGTGTGATACCCTGTGAGGACACAAAGTACTGAGCGAGGGTCCCCAGAAATTATCTACACTGCAGCCACTTTCATGAGGTCAAAAGCCTTTATTGTGGAGTTTTGCTAACCTTTTTATAAGCTTCTCTGAACAGGTCACCCTGATGGGTAGAAGGGACAACACCTCTCTCATCCCTCTGGTGGGATAAGAGAGAAAACACTCTCAG